GTTGTGAATGTGGTGCAGAAGTTTTTTCTGGCTTCCGTCCAGCTCTGATGGGTCCTGTGAGAACAGCTGTGGTGGGTGAGTTGTGAAAGGTGTTCCAGTGTGTGGGAATCCAGCGGTGGATGTTGGTGGCAGAGACTGTGGTTGAACGGAGCACGCAAGACGCCATGGGATTGAACAGCTGCAATAATTTGACTCCAGGGTCCTTTTCCTTGTGACGTGTGGAAGTAGGTGTTCAGGACACAACTGGTAGGAGAGTGACGCGGCTCCAGACAGTGTTTACAGCTCAGCTCCAGGTTGTAATGTTATTATTTCTCTGTCATGCCTCTGAGTTTTGCTTCTGCCACCTCAGTGACTGCTCTGTCTCCTTGGCCCTTCCCTCCTTTTTTTCTCTCTTTGAAGTCTGGGCATGCGTTAGACTCTTTGGGTTTCTTCTCTCTTTCTGGACTTATATTGGTGAGTTCTTGTGATTAGTGGTTTGAAATACCATCCGGCAGGGTTCTGGCCACTCTCAAATTTGAATCTCCAGTCTGGATGCAAATCTCGCCCATACATCTAAGTGCCCACTCAGAATCTTCGGTCAGGTCACAGTTGACATTTCCAGGTGAAATTTGCCAAGGACTGAATCCTGATACTACTCCCTAAGATTGCTTCCTTCCTGTCTTCCTTCTCGCACGCGGTACCTGGAAACCAAGTCTTGCTTGCTACACAGTCCTTAGCATCATCCTTTTTTCGCTTTTCCCCTTGTTTTCCACTCCCATCTTCCACTTTATTAGCAGGCCCTGAAATAGATGTGGAATTTGACCACTTCGCACCACCTCCATTACTATGTTGGGCTCAGCGTGACCCCTTAACGCAGTGACTTCTAACTGCTCTCCCTCGACCTCTGCCATGGCGTCTCTATTCCTTCCTTTCCACTTTAACTTAGAGCATGTCACTCTGTTTAAAAATCCTCACATGACTTACCATTTTCTTTGGAGTAAAACCCAAAGTTCTGAAAAGCACACTCTGACCAGGTCCCTACTGATCTAAAGTTTAGAAGTGATTGAATGAACACACAACTGGGGAGAACAGTCTCCCTTGATCGTATCAGGATCCTGAGGAACTATTTCATGTAGCCTCCTTGTGGCCAGTACACTGTGACCGCCTTCCAGCGCGCACATACAGGACACAGGATGGGAAAGTGGGGCGAGGACTAATGGATGCCTGCCCTCCAGAGCTTCATCAACATGCCAGCCTCAGTGTGCATGAGGCGTGTTGTATGATGTGATGAAAGTGGTACTTGATCTCTGCGCTCTTCCTTCCTCTCCCAAACCCAGGCAAATCCAAAATAGTTATTCCACCTGACGACTCTGTGCAGTATCTTACCAGTACTTTTAAAACCATAAGCGTTGAAATAAAGATCAAGGAATTGGTGAAATCCAGAGACCGAAGTGATACAAGATCTAAACATAGGGGGGTAGTTGAGTAACATCTTAGGATCGTAAAAGGGCACTGAGTCAAATCTGAGGAAATTCAGAGAATGAAGTGTCAGCTTCAGTTAATGACCAATGTACCACTATTGGTTTACAAGTTGTGACCAATATGAGATGTTAACAATAGGGTTAAACCCTCTTAGTAAATCTTCTATAACTTTAATAAAATTACTCTGAAATTAAATTTATTTTTTTTAAAAAAGTCTCCTTCCTCCTCCAGCCAGCCACAGCCTTTGATGTTTCTCTAGACTTTTCTATTGGAGATGCTTTTAACCCCAGAGGACATGTGGCCGTATCTGGAGACCTTTATTTTAAGCTGATGGGGAGGGGACGCTATAGGCATTTAATGGGTGGAGAACAAAAATCATGCAAGGCATCCTCCAGCGCCTCCGATAGCCATCCTCCCCCCTCCTCCCCCATAATTATATGCCCCGGTTGTCTGTCCCTTTTGAGTGTAGGGTTCTGTTTCCCTTCAGTTTCTCGTGCTCTGCATTTCATAGTTTCTCCTAGAACTTAATCATCAGCCTCACTTTGTTGAGCTCCTAATCAGCACTTGCCATCAGTTCTCTGTTTATTTGTCTGTGTGTCAAGGAAGTCTTATCTTTCACGAGGGTTGGTAGGTCATTTGGTTCACTTTTGTATTCCTAGCAACTGTAGCACTGTCCCTGACTCATACCAGGTTCTCATTAAATATTTATTGTGAATGAATCAAATGCCGACATGGAGTAAATGATAAAGATAACATATACTTACGCTAAAAATTCTAGGTAATATAGGGCTGGAGAAAGGTGTCAAGGTGCTTGCCTTGTGTGCGGCCCAACACTGCTTGGCCCTGAAGCAAAGCCTGGATTGACCCTTGAGCACAGAACTGGTAATAAGCTCCAAGCACCAGTGGATGTGGCTTCAACTCCTTCCACCCTGCAAAATCCAACACAGGGCACTCACTCGCTCCCATTCAGAGTGTATAGAAAAATGAAAGCGTAGAGTATTTCCCCAGCTACCTGTTTTTTTTTTTTTTTGGTCATACTCAGCGATGCACAGGGCTTACTCCTGGCTCTGCACTCAGGAATTACTCCTGACAGTGCTCAGGGGACCATATGGGATGCTGGGAATTGAACCCGGGTCCACCGCGTGCAAGGCAGATGCCCTACTTGCTGTGCTATCGCTCCAGCCCCCCAGCTACCTGTTCTTGAGAAGTTCCTGCTGCTAAGGATTTATTTCTGCAGGATATTTAGCCTTTTCCTTCCCTGGGATGGAAGGCAGGGCTCTCACGGGTGAGGCAAGTGTGCTCTCCCCTCTATCTGTTCTCATGCGTGTTTTACACGCACCCACACTTTATCTTCTCTCTCTTTTTTTTTCTGTTTCAAGCATAAGTGGGATTTTCTCAGTTTTGCCTCTTTACATACCAACATGTAGAATACCATCTCTTTTTTCCTTTCAAAGCTGCATGGCAGTTTGTGTGTAGAATAAGGAAAACCATTTTAACTTGTGGTAGAGCCTGGTTTGTTCAATTTACTGTAAAATGGGTGGGAGTAGTGATGTTCCCTACAGTGACATTGCGTGTGTGGCATTGTCTTTTAAAGAGGTCTTTAAAGCATTTTCTTTATTATATGTGCACTATTCTATGCCATCTAGTCCTGCTTTGTAAATGCCTTGGAATTGGACTCTCAATTTTTCATGGGCTTTACCAATCTGCAGCTAGCAGAGGGGGTGTCAGAGAGCTAGTTCTGTGTTCAGCACGTAGCACACAACTGAAATCCTTACTTGAACAAAATGACTGGCATGCAGAGTAATAGTGCAGTGGCTAGGGCGCTTGCCTTGCATACGTAGACCCGGGTTCAGTTCCTACTAACCAATATGTGTCCTTGAGCCTCTGCCGGGAGTGATTCCTGAGCTCTGAGCCAGGAGTTAACCCTGAGCACTGCCAGGTGCCAGGTGTGGCCCCAAAAATAAAAAGTAAAAATAAAATTACTGGTGTATTACATAATAATCCCAAACATTAGTAAGTTACTGAACATGAGAACTGTTTAAGAAGTGTAGAGAGAGTTGGGGGAGATTGTTTAATTTTGTTTAAATTCTAATTTTTTTCCTCCCAGAGTCCAGAAATCTGTTTAGATTGTTGATTTCCCTTGCTCGGGAGAAGTTACGATAACTGAAGTACAATTTAGAGTGCCCAACTGGAACATGATTCAGTATCAATTAAGCTTCTTAATGCTTTCCGACGATCAAGTCTTTCCTTTCTTTCATAATGGGATGACTAATGGGGCAAAGTTGGCGGTGGCTGAGATAAGATACTGTAAATTAGTATTGCCATCCTCATTTTCAACTTGACTGTTAGAGCAGCCCTCCAGTCCGATGACTCTTTCACCTTTGCTTCCATTCACGTTTCGTGAACATTCGTTTGTGAGGGCTGGTGCCAAGGGTACAGAACTGCCCTCCACCCACAGGGTTGGGATGTCTCTGTGAAGCTACTTTGATTTGCAAGGTGAATCGCTTTGCATTCAGAGAAACAGTCGGTTCCAAATGAATTGCCCTGCTCCCCTGCCAGGTCTCAGCCCAGGGGACTGCCCACCTCCTACAGGCGACCCTTTCTCACATGTCCTCTCCACTTCCTGCCATCTCCTGCATTGATTGGGCTCTGCCAGTGAGAGGCAGTCAGTGGTATTACACCCTGATATTGGCCCCCAGGGGCAGCTGGCTCATTGCTCTGTAGACAAGAAGCACCTTCAATTTAAACAGCGTTGGTGGCAAATGCTCACGGAGTTCTTGAGAGCCAGGGAAAGCCTTATCCACTCATGCTGCTGGTTTTCCTCTTGTAAACGGACTTTTTTTTTTCTTTTGGCTTCAGTTGGCAGTTCTGAAATGACCTCAGTGTCAAACTTGATGATATAATTATTTTAATACCTTTAAGTAGGTATGTTGTGCTAAATGAGACCATAAATGCTTATATTATGCGGGGAGTGAACATAATCATTCTTATAAAGATATAATTTCAGGTTAAATTTTGAAGTGTGATTATAAACTGTCATTATGGAAGGTCATAGAAAATCTCTGTTGGAAGTTTTGTTGGTGGTGGTACTAAGTTAGAAACTTCTCGTGCCCAGTTTTGCTGTAGCATTAACTTTGTGAGCTTTGGAACATTCAATTTTTTGTATATTAGCAAACATCAAGTGTTCATTATCTACCTTTTTTGCAGACATTTGTATATGTTGTGAAGATTTAAATAGAAAAAATACAGTTTCGTTACTACTGCAGGCAGTTTTTTCGTCCAGTGCTCATCATGATTTTTTTGAGTTATCAAAAATAAAAAAATGGTTCTTCTTAAACTTAATTTTAAACAAATGAGAAGTGTCAATATTTATGTTAGGAAACAGGTATACGAAATGGCCGCGTTTACTTATAATTCATACTTTAAAATACTTTCTTGAAATACGAGATGCAAACCAAATTGTAAGGATAGAAATTTTAGTCTTTTAGTCAGTTGCATTTCCCTGAAGTAAAGATCCTTATTTCTTTTTTCTGTTTTAGGTTCCTGAGAAACAATGGGGAGATACTTGGCTCTGCTTCTGCTTCTGCTCCTCCTCCTCCAGCATTTTGGGGACGGTGCTGGAAGTCAAACACTTGAACAGACTCCACCACAGTTTACACATTTCCAGTATAATGTCACTGTGTATGAAAACTCTGCAGCAAAAACCTATGTTGGGCACCCTGTAAAGATGGGTATTTACCTTACAAATCCATCATGGGAACTAAGGTACAAAATTGTCTCGGGAGACAATGAAAACCTCTTCAAAGCCGAAGAATACATTTTGGGAGACTTTTGCTTTCTAAGAATAAGGACCAAAGGAGGAAATACAGCGATTCTCAATCGGGAGGTGAAAGACCATTACACATTGATAGTCAAAGCAGTGGAAAAAAATACCAACGCTGAAGCACGAACAAAGGTCAGGGTACGAGTGTTGGATACAAATGACTTGAGGCCATTATTCTCACCCACCTCCTACAGCGTGTCTTTACCCGAAAACACAGCCCTCAGGACCAGTATTGCAAGAGTCAGTGCCACAGATGCAGATATAGGAACCAATGGAGAATTTTACTACAGTTTTAAAGACCGAACAGACATGTTTGCCATTCACCCCACCAGTGGTGCAATCGTTTTAACGGGTAGGCTTGATTACATGGAGACCAAGCTCTACGAGATGGAAATTCTTGCAGTGGACCGCGGGATGAAGTTATATGGTAGCAGTGGGATCAGCAGCATGGCCAAGCTGACGGTTCATGTTGAGCAGGCCAATGAGTGTGCTCCCGTGATAACCGCAGTGACATTATCACCATCAGAACTGGACAAGGACCCAACGTACGCCATCGTGACAGTGGATGACTGTGACCAGGGTGCCAATGGGGAAATCGCTTCTTTGAGCATTGTGGCAGGTGACCCCCTCCAACAGTTTAGAACAGTGAGGTCTTCCCCAGGGAGTAAAGAGTATAAAATCAAGGCGGTTGGTGGCATTGACTGGGACAGTCATCCCTTTGGCTACAACCTGACCCTGCAGGCTAAAGATAAAGGAAGCCCTCCCCAGTTCTCTTCTGTAAAAGTGATCCACGTAACTTCTCCGCAGTTCAAAGCTGGGCCAGTCAAGTTTGAGAAGAGTGTTTACAGAGCCGAGATAAGTGAATTTGCTCCTCCCAACACTCCCGTGGTCATGGTCAAAGCCATCCCGCGTTACCCTCATTTGAGGTACGCTTTCAAAAGTACGCCCGGCAAAGCGAAGTTCAGTCTGAATCAGAACACTGGCCTCATTTCCATCTTGGAGCCAATCAGAAGACAGCACGCCTCCCATTTCGAACTCGAAGTCACGGCAAGTGACAGAAAGGTCTCCACCAAAGTCTTGGTTAAAGTTCTCAGTGCCAACAGCAACCCCCCCGAGTTCACCCAGACAGCGTACAAAGCTTCTTTCGATGAGAATGTTCCCATTGGCACCACTGTCCTGAGTGTGAGTGCCCTGGACCCCGATGAGGGTGAGAATGGGTATGTGACTTACAGTATTGCCAACTTAAACCATGTGCCATTTGTGATCGACCATTTCAGTGGGGCTGTGAGTACCTCAGAGACCTTGGACTATGAGCTGATGCCACGGGTCTACACGCTGAGAATCCGCGCATCAGACTGGGGCTTGCCCTACCGCAGGGAAGTTGAAGTCCTTGCAACAGTCACGCTCAATAACTTGAATGACAACACACCCTTGTTTGAGAAAATAAATTGTGAAGGAACAATTCCCAGGGATCTTGGTGTGGGCGAGCAGATCACAACGGTTTCTGCGATTGATGCTGATGAGTTGCAGTTGGTCCGCTATCAGATCGAAGCTGGGAATGAACTAGAATTGTTTAGCTTGAACCCCAGCTCTGGGGTATTGTCCTTAAAGCAGTCCCTCATGGATGGCTTAGGTGCAAAGGCGACCTTTCACAGCCTGAGAATCACAGCTACAGATGGAGAGAACTTTGCCACCCCATTGTACATCAACATAACCGTGGCTGCCCCTCGCAAGCAGATAAACTTGCACTGTGAAGAGACCGGAGTTGCCAAAATGCTGGCAGAGAAACTCCTGCAAGCGAATAAGTTACACAGCCAGGGAGAGGTGGAGGATATTTTCTTTGATTCTCATTCTGTCAATGCCCATGCGCCACAGTTTCGAAGTGCTCTTCCAACTAGTATTGAGGTAAAGGAAAATCACCCTGTAGGTTCCAACGTTGTTCTCATGAACGCTACTGACCTTGACACTGGCTTCAACGGGAAATTGGTCTATGCTATTTCTGGAGGAAATGAGGATAGTTGTTTCATTATTGACATGGACACAGGAATGCTAAAAATTCTATCTCCACTGGACCGTGAAACAACAGACAAGTATACCCTGAATATCACAGTATATGACCTTGGTATACCACAGAAGGCTGCCTGGCGTCTCCTGGATGTCAGAGTTCTGGATGCCAATGATAATCCACCTGAGTTTTTACAGGAGAGCTACTTTGTTGAAGTGAGTGAAGACAAGGAGATCAATAGTGAAATCATCCAGATAGAAGCCACAGATAAAGACCTAGGTGCAAATGGACACCTGACCTACTCTATTCTTACAGACACAGATAAGTTTTCAATTGACAGTGTGACTGGGGTCGTTAGAATTGTGTCTCCTTTGGATCGTGAAATACAGCATGTGCATTATTTGAAGATTGAAGCCAGGGATCAAGCCAAAGAAGAAGCTCAGTTGTTTTCCACTGTACTTTTGAAAGTATCATTAGAGGACGTTAATGACAACCCACCAAAGTTCATTCCACCTAATTACCGTGTGAAAGTTCGAGAGGACCTTCCAGAAGGAACCATAATCATGTGGTTGGAAGCCTATGATCCTGATTTAGGTCAGTCTAGTCAAGTGAGATACAACCTCTTGGACCATGGTGAAGGACACTTTGATGTGGACAAGCTCAGTGGAGCAATCAGGATTGTACAGCAGTTGGACTTTGAGAAGAAGCAAGTGTATAATCTCACTGTTAGGGCCAAAGACAAAGGGAAACCCGTTTCTCTGTCTTCTACCTGCTTTGTTGAGGTCGAAGTCATTGATGTGAATGAAAACTTACACCCACCAGTGTTTTCCAGCTTTGTGGAAAAAGGTGTAGTGAAAGAAGACGTCCCTATTGGCTCATCAGTCATGACAGTATCAGCTCATGATGAGGACACAGGAAGAGACGGGGAGATACGCTATTCCATTAGAGATGGCTCTGGTGTTGGCATCTTCAGAATAGATGAAGAGACTGGTAAGAATGTTCTTAAGCAGGCTTGATCTTCCTTCTCTAAAATTAATTTCGGTCCTGTACTTGTAGTACTGGTTCCTTCATAACACTCCTTTGACTTTAATAAGGGTTGAGCGTAGAACTGTATATATGTATGTACATCCATCTATAGAGACACGTGGTTTATAAGACATGAAGGGTGCACTAAAAGAATCGAAGTGAGTTAAGTATAAAATGATAAAGAAACAGGAAAAGGTTGAAATCACGACTGATCATGGATCTCATAAGTTTGAACTCTGCATTGTCAGGAAAAAAAACCCCTCACTGTTGTTTTGCTATATCCGGAAGAAATGCTTCCTTAGTTTAAAGGCTAATATGTTTGCATCCTCACACTTTGAACAGTCGCTGTGTAGCATGCCATGCAGAAATTATTGTCTGCCCGCAGAATTGTGAGGACACGAATCACTGAGCTGGATCTTGGCCAACAAAGAGAAGGCTGTACTGAAACATCTATACTTTGAGCTGCTTTATTTAACATCTCCAGATCTTGAGGGTCAGATCGAGGGTTGCAGAAGATGGAACTGAAAACTTCTTGCTTTGAATCCCGGCTCTTTTCAATTTATGAATTTCTTAAGAACGGTCACTTTTACATTCCCCACTCCCACTTTTCTAATGTGGTCTTTGGAAGTCTATAAAGAACTGTTGTAAATTAAAGTTAAGACAGGAACTAAAACCAAATCTTAATTTACATTTCCTTGATGAGTTCTATAACCATTGCTTTTGGGTTTTTTTTTTTAAGCATTTCTCTGCAACAAAGGAGTATTTTTATTGTTGCTTTTAAAGGACTACTTAGTGTTTTATGCCTATAAATTTAAGAGATTGGGGTGTTCCTACTTCCACAGAAAGGGATAAAGAAAGTAACTCAACCAGGCAGTATTCTGGAATAGAGGTCTAGTGGCTTTCAGAGCTAAATTGCTGTGTCAGGCCTTTCTTGTGTTAAATTAATGAGGCCAGGGGATGAGTTGGGATTAAGGGAATGGGATTGGTCAGCATGTAGAAAATTGTACTTACAACCTGAGATTTACAGGTTAGAGAAAACTTGGACATTTGTAGGACGTTTTTACTTTGCGGGGTGAAAAATGGAGTATAGTAGATTCATGTTTATTTGCTTTTTGAAATGGAATAGAAGTTATATATTGATATTTACATATTGACCTGTTACACCGGGCACGTTTTGGCAATAGAATCATTCGCATAAGTTGTTGAGATTTTTGGTTAGACTGCTGTCTGATAGTGTAAGTTCTTTCAGAAAAGCCATTATATTCTGAGCAGTACAAGTTCTAAATTTAGCCATGCAAAGTTTTGTCTGTAATTTGTCTCAGTCGTTACTTGGTCATGTTGGGAGTTCAAAGGCGTGACTCTCAGATTAGGAAAATTTGGAGAGATAGGATAACAAGTTGGATGCTTGGCTTTCAAGAGGCCACTGAGTTGATCCCCAGCACCATGTGGGGATGGCCCTGAGCACAGCCAGGTATGGTCTCACAGGACGAGGAGGAGGAGGAGGAGGAGGAGGAGGAGGAGGAGGAGGAGGAGGAGGAGGAGGAGGAGGAGGAGGAACTATAGTGGGCACTCCATTGGATAAAACATAGAAACCTGTGTGAGTTGAATTTACCTGATTCAGGTTTATAAACAACTTTGCTCTTTGTTTTTTTGCTTATGTCTGCTGGGCTCTTTCTTATCTGCCACGTGTGTAATAATGGGCTGAATAACCAGTGGGACTGATTTGACTCTAGAGGTCAGGAATCTGTCCACTAAACTGCTTCTTGCGTGGACTTAACTTTAAACTGCAGTGCTGGTTGATTAAGTACTATGAACAGATATTTGCGATGTTTACCGATTTCAGCATTTTCAAATAGAATATCATTCACATAATTTTCATAGAATTCAGACTATTTTCAGTAGTCCAAATTTAGTTCTTAGTATTTTAGAGATACTTAAAAAAATCCTGCTTAAGTGCCCGAGTTCAAAGGACTGGAGCACATGCATTGCTTCCAGGTTTGGTTCCCAGCACTGAGCCTTGAATAACCAGTCCCTTAGCACCCTTGGGTGTGCTCCCCAAACAGCAAGAAATTAGAATCACTGTCATTCGACAGGACAAGTCATAGTTTAATGTATTCCTTTGAGGTCAATTCCCCTGATGTATGTATATTGTAATAGGATGTTTCCTCTTCAGCTTAGTTCAGTTTTTTTTTTTTTTTGCCTTTAAGGATGTTTCCTCTTCAGTTTGACTCATTTTGTTGCCATTAGTTTAATGCAACCCAGTTAGTGTGTATTCCCCTTTTGACTACTTATTTGGGAAGACCATGTTTTTCATTAAGAAGAGCACAAATTTCTAAATTTATTGGAGTTGTATTACTCTTAGGATCCCAGTCGTGGCCTTAGTATTGAAATTTATGTTTCAATGAAAGGCTTTGGAAAGAATTAATATGGACATACAGCTGTTGCAACAAGATAAATCACTATTCATGAAATGTGGAAGGGAATAGAAGGAATACATTTGTCTTAGGAGAATCTGGCTTCGTTACCGTTATGGGGGAGGGTGTTTGCACCAATCCCGTGTTGCACATTTGGAAGCTGGTGCTGACCTTCTCCAGCTAAGTGGACACAGAATGGACATGTTTAGGCAGTGCATAGAGAGGGAATTACAATCCAGTTAACCTGGAAAGGGAAGAGTTGTCTTTTGGGCTTTTGTCTCCTTTGGCAGAATTATGGATATTCAAATTAGTGTTTAAACTTTAAATTTAAATTTGTATTGAATTTAAATATTTAAATTAGCGTTTACTGAAGTTGACAAAAACCTTTTCCCAGCTGAAGGTGGGAAGTTCTCGGTGGAATCAGAGCTTCTGTTTTCCCCCAGAAGCTGCATCTCGTGACAAGGACTGGAATGTTGAGGATATTAATGGGCTCAGACTTCATGACCGAAAATCTCTAAGTGGCCAGGGGTCGAAAGATGTGCTGGCTACTGTGGAGGGACCTGTTACCTCATGTGGAGCTGAGGCTAGAATTTCTGGCAGCAGGAACTTAAATAGATACTGGTGGGAGGCCCTGTTAGGGAGTTAAGAAATTTGCTGGTGAAAGGGCTTTTGTATTGCTGTCTCCTCCCTTAAGTGGCAGCAGCTGCTGTCCTGTTCTTTTTGTTCTCCTCCTCAGAAAATTGAAGAGAAAAGAAACTCACTTCCTAGCCACCGCAGGATGGAAAATGGGGCGTTGGCAGATATTAGGTTCTGAGAATGTTGCTGGAATCTGCCCCTTGGTGTGCAGGCCGGTTTTGAGTGAAGGCAGAACCTTGCTAGCAGAACCTTGCTAGAGGATTTGCAGCAGAAAACGAGGTCTCAATTGGACATCTTAAGGAAATTCCATCTTGTTTTTAGAGAAAACACGATCCGTTTTACTTAAGTTGTTTCTATGGTGTTTAGCAAGGGCCTTGGCTTTAAGTCCTGAGTGAATGAATACGTGTACCAGGAACTCTGATTCCCAGTAATACAGCAGACCATGCTTGAGGTGTCATCTGCTGGTGGGATCTTTAGCGCCGCTGAAGGGTGGAACTTGCAGGGTGGGGGCGGAAATGGGGCCAGAACAACTTAAGAAATAGAACCTTGGAGGCTGCGTGCTTTCCAAAGCTGTAATCGTAATGATGATAGGTATCAGTATAATCATAAGCCAGACCCTGTTATAGCCAGGCATCATCAGAGCATTCTCTTGTGTTTCAGTTGATTTCCTCCTCACAACTCCAAGATAAATACTGTTCTCTCACAGTCAAGGAATCATTCACAGAGAGGTCCAAGAACTTGCCCAAGACCGCTTGGGTGGTAAGTGGCAGACCTAGCCGGCAGACACTACAATTTACTGCCTCACCCTTTGAAGGGTCCTGAGCGCAGAAGCCCTTGGAAACCACTAGTTGAATGGGATTCTAGGCTGTACGGGGTGGGGGTGGAGACTTGAATCCTGGATTTGAGGCTTTCTCATGAAGGAACCTTAAATCTGAGAAGCTTCTCCCATAATTTTTTTTTTCTAACCCCCTCTGAATGGCATGCTGCTGGTTAGTTAGTACACTTAAAAGAGAACAGGAATTTAGAATTACAGCAATGGTATTTTGTTCCAGTGACGTGCTTAGTGGGTTAAAAATAGTGATTGTTTGATAATGAACTTTGCTCTCCAGTGGAGATGAATGAACAGTTGCCCTGCCCGTGTTTGCAGTTGTGAATGGAAGGCACATAATAAAACGCAGCCTGCCTAAACTGGGCAGGGCGTTGATTCCCTGGAGACTCTTCTCACTCAAACAGTTCATTAGAAAGTAGATCGTTTCTGGGTCTCAGCTAACTTTCAGAGCAGATATGAACCACTAACTGCATTTCCTCTTTGAGTTGAGGTGTCATTGTTCCTTGCCTTGAGCTCAGGGTCTTGGCTGCAGTACCTGGCCCCCACAACCCCAATGAACTACTGGACATTTGATAACTAGTATAGTAGACATTTGATAACTAGTATGTGGCAGGAGAGCCTAGCTTGAACTCTTCCCTGCTCATCCCTCTTGGTAGGAAACCATTTTCATATTGTCCGGGTATTTAAGAGTTGGACATTCTGACACGATGAATGGCTTTTATGAGATTACATGCTCAGTTAATAATCTGGTGTGCTATTTCCAGAATGCTTGCCTTCCAAAATAATGAGAGTAGATTTGAAAATTTTATGCTTGTGTTAGGTTTATTAAAAGTTCTAAAACTTTAGATGTTGTCCCTGTTGCATTTTAAAAGGTCATTTGGTTTATATTTATTGAAGGCTGTAGGTTATTTTAGTTCATAAGGTTGCTTTTGTTAAATTTTTATGTTTGTACAAGTTTGTGACTTTGTGATTACCTTATGACACTTGCTTCTTAGGAAAAACAAACCATGGTAGTTTAAACCAGGACATATTCTCTGCACACAAGGCAAACTTGCATGTCTTTGTTACTAGATATAAATGGAATT